GCTTCAGCGACAGAGACAAAGATAGTTGTGGCTCCACTTCCTACAGAGATAGCTTCAGAGCCACAGGGTCAGACTACAGCTTCATCTTCTACTTCTCAGCTAGCTGACCTAGTTACTGAGACCATAGAGCAAACTCAGACTGCTTCACTTCCTGCTTTAGAGTCAGAAGGTTAGCCGCCAATTGCTCCAGCTGGTCTGATAGTTCTGAGTCCAGAGTCAAATGATGATGCTACTCAGTTTTAGATCTCTCACCGTACCTCAGCGCCTGACTCGTCTGCTCCTACCCCGCCATCCGACCCTTAGGTTTTGGTGCTTGATGCCAAAGGAGGAGAGGGAGCGAGTATGTTATATTTAGGGGGAGCATGTGAGATGGACTCGTTCTTTTGTGTGTGATACTTCATGCACTCACGTTTACTTTCATGCATTGTGATATATGTGTGATTGTGAGACTTATGTGACATGTGTGCTCTCTACTTTGATATATATATGTCATGTCACTTGGTTATGCTCATTTGCTTTGCTTCCGCATTTTACTCCGATACAAATGAGCTTTAGTTTGTGTACTCGTGCTTATTTCATATCTTGTGAGTACATTGTGTTGGCTTGGGTCATATAAACATGCCTAACCCTTTTGATCTTACTGTCAATTGCTTATATGAACTAAGCATGTTGAAAACCTCACCCATCTCTTATACACATACTCGAGGTTGTGTTGTCATCAATCACCAAAAAGGGGGAGATTGAAAGCATCTAGGCCCCTAGTTGGGTTTTGGTGATTAATGACGACATAAGATTACTATGACTAACATGTGTTTTGCAGAGGATCTAAGTTAGGTCATGATAATGGTGATTGTTTGGGAAATTATGGTTTTCATGCCCCTATCGATGGAAATCATTTTGGTTTTCAAAGGATGGACGACAAAGTTAAGGACGGACTAGTTCTAAATATCGATAGGTGTTGGAGAGACACTTAGAGTAATTTAGGACTTTATTTTTCCTTTGGCCGTACTATTAAGGGGGTATGAACTAGTAGCTTGACCTAGGTGAGTGTAATGCGTTAGGTGTGGTGCACACTTGTCAAACTTAGCACTAGGTAGCTCAAGGACAGCCCAAAGATCGATTGGAGCAAACTTTGTTCACAAAGCTTTTCGACATGGAAGTGAATGGAGGGTAAATTCACTGACCGAACGATGGAAGTGCAGGGACCAGACTCTGGATGCTGAGTCCAGTCAGTTCACAGGGCGCGCAGCCAAGGCTTTCACCAGACCGGACACTGGCTCAAGGTAGCGACCAGACGCGCAGGTGCCGAGATCTGTAGCAGCGGGGCTTCGGTTTTGGCTTGACTGGACGCAGCGTAGGAACTTGACCGGACGCACGCATACCTGGAGTTCGGTCAACAACAGAATGCATCTAGAGAAGGTTTTTGGAGACCTAACACATTAGGTCAGGGTGGACCTGACTCTACAGTGAGTCCGGTCACTCTAACGGTCCACTATTTGAGCTAGCAGAGTTGCAGCCACAGTGTACTAACCGAACGCGTCCGACCACATCGACCAGTGTGTCCGGTTACCCTGAAATGTGCTGAGTTGGACTCCAACGGGTATGTTTTGAAGTGGGGAGTATAAATACTTCTCCTACTCATCCAACTTAGCACTCTTGTCTATTTGTTCAGGTGAGAAACACCTGTGGAGTGCAAGGAAGAGCAAGAGTCTAGTGGGGTGATTGAGATTTGAGAATATAAGATTAAGGACCTCATTAGTGCATAGGGAGTAGCAAGTGTGCATTCACCCTTCTCATTAGACTTGTCTGGGTCAAGTGAAAGTTTGTGCTTGTTACTCTTGGTGATCGCCATCACCTAGACGGCTCGGTGGTGATTGAAAGCTTGGTGATCATCCGGCGGAGCTTGTGGATGTTCCAAGTCATGGTGTGAGCGGTTGTGGGTGATTCATCGTGACGGAGCATCGAAGAATCAGCTCCTAGAGAGCACTTGATCCTTGCACGGATCAAGGGGGAGCTACACCCTTGCACGGTTGGTCCAACGAGGACTAGTGGGGAGTGATGACTCTCCGATACCTCAAAAAAACCTCACCGCTTTCCTCTCCCTCTCTTTACTTTGAGCATTTACATTTGAGCAATTCAATTCATGTCTTTACATTCTTAGAATTGCCATGTAATAGTAGGATTGGAACCTAGGGTGCAAAACTTTTGTGCGGTAGATCATAGCGAACACTTTTAGGCACAAGGGAGTGAAATGGGCTAAGTGTAGGGTTTAATTATTGCAAGAAATTTAGAATTAGCCCAATTCACCCTCCCTCTTAGGCATCTTGATCCTTTCAGTTGCTATTACCCTTTGGGGATTGAATTAAGCTTGTGACCCCTCAATTTTAATGAAGAAGTGACACTCAGCTCAATAGAGGCTTTATTAGTTTTATATTTTGATATTGAGTATAGAATACGCCATACTATAAAAGGGATACAAATCTCAAATACTTGAGGAAGACAGAGTGCTCAAGTTGAGTTGTTCAAGAGGATGTCACTCGGTTTAGGTGGATTAACTTGGCGTGTACTTGGACTCTTGTAACATCAAAATTGGTGTTGGGTGTTATAATAGCGCTTCATCAAATTTGGCCATGTTATTAGTCTCTACTAGGGACGAGTTGAAGTCATGAAGCCTGGAAGGGGGGGTGAGGTATTTCATTCCTATCGGCCATGACGCCTAAAACGATTTAGGTCTCGCTGGTCTTGGGTCCTCGTGTTTCTGGTTGCAATTGCAATCTTGTTTTTTCTATGTGCCTATGCATATGGGTGTGTGTGTCCTGTGTTCAATGTGTGTTGAAGTGTGGCTTGTGGAGGTTTTCCCGCTTTTAATATAATGATAATATGTGTTATGTTTTTTTATAAAAATACGCTATTTATATATTATTGTCAAAGTCGTATTTTGAAGACTATGCCAATATACAAATGTGTCACTTATTTATGTGTAAATGGAAATGCGGTTAAACACAAGTTTATTTGGGGGAAAAACTATATTGCCATATTATACTTATCAGGTGTACCGCTAAGAGATGACACAAAAAGGGAAAAGAGTCTAATACATGTAGACGAGACATTTAAAATCCAAAACTGTACTAAGAAATCACACAAAAAATGAGGGCAAAGAATCCAAAACAAAACATGTACACAAGACATTTAAAATATGAAGACAGGAGCAAAAAAATCCAAAAATATTGGGACTACTTTAAAATATGAAAAGAGGGCAAAGAGTCCAAACATGTGCACCAAACATTTAGTATCCAAAAAAAGAGATGACACATAAAAGAGGGGAAAGAGTCCAAAACATGTGCATGAGACATTTAAAATCCAAAATATTGGCAAGAAATCACAAAAAATGTACAAAATACAAAACAAAAACATGTACAAGAGACATTTGAATCTAAAATATTGCTAAAAAAATCACAAAAAATGATGTAGAAAATACAAAACAAAACATGTACATGAGACATTTAAAATAAAAAGTAAAAAAGGAGCAAAAATGAGGAGAGTCTAAATATGTGCACGAGACATTTAAAATCCAAAAATAGCACGTGGATGAGACAAAAGAGATGACACAAAAAAGTTCCGAAACATGTGTGCGAGACAATTAAATCCAAAATATTGCTAAGAATCACACCCAAAAAGTGATGGTAGAGAATGCAAAAAGTAGAGGTGGCATTTAATTTTTTTTTAAAATAAATAAAGCCAAAAAATGTGATAAGTCCAAACTTGTGCATGAGACATTTAAAATCCAAAAAAATATCTGAACAAGACATTTAAAATTAAAAAAATTATAAAAAATGATGGTAGATAATGCAGAACAAAACAGTAAAATAGAGAAAAGTAAAAAAATTTCGCTAGAAGGAGGGCTTGAACCTCCGACCTTGTGGTTAACAGCCACACGCTCTAACCAACTGAGCTATTCCAGCTTTTGATATGTATGTTGACTTTTTGCTTATCTATCATGTGTTGATTACACATCAGAACAACGTGACGACATGATGTCATGTCTGGTGCCGCCAGAATACGAACGGAGATGCACAAATGGATAGCATTCGTGGTAGAATGCGGCGATCAGAACAGGAACTATCAAAGACGCTTCCAGCTGCGTTTCTGAGTTTCTCAATGATATTTTAGGCCGCGTTTGGCACCGACTCCGGCGGCTCCGGCTTCCTGCATTGCTGCACTGTGCAGCCCTGTAGCAAGGAGCTGGATGGCTACGTCTCCCACAGAAATCAACACGCACAGGGAAGGAGGCGAAGAAGCCACGGATTTGGGACTCCGGTGGCTCCTCCATAGTACCCAGAGCCGGAGCCGCCCCTTAGTTGCTTCTATGGTCTAGGAGGTGAGTCTACTTCAACTGTTTGGGTGAAAGACAATGAAAAACTGCTTAGTTTCTCCTACGATTGGTCACATTTTGATAATAAAAAAACTACCTGTTCATAAAAAAAATCTGGAGTAGTTTATATTCATATGAATTCACCTACGTTTCAGTCTCCACAGACTTTTACTAATAGGCGTGAAGAACATGGAAACTTCGGTCATGATATTCATGCACTACCAGATAAATGAGTCGCAAAGGGTTCTTGTCCAACAAAGTTAACCGACACAACAACAACAACAATAACAATATAGTCTTTCAGTCCCAAACAAGTTGGGGTAGACTAAAACCAAAAAAAAAAAAACAAGAGATGAATCCCAGCCATGTAATGAGGCAGCACCTGCCCATTGATGCAGTGGACTAAGTGTTGAATTTTTCTTTGTTTGGAAACATGATCTATGATTTCTCCCGGTTATGTTTGGATGATCAAATAAGTGTAAACACGAGTAACATTAATTGGCATGCGTCATGTGGTTTGAACCGATGCTTCAAACAAGTTTATCTACCACCATAACATGGTTACAAAAATTTTTGTACAACAGTACCCAACAAAATCCTCTTAAAGACTCTCATCTCATCCCTGATTTTACATCTCCATGCCGTCCTGCGCCATATTCTGCAGATCCTCCTCAGTCAACAGCGTCTTCTTGCCACCGCTTCCCGTCTTGTCATATGGCTGTGCCATCCTCCGGAGAAACTGTTGCAGAGCAAGTGTTAGGGCATCACTATGACAAGCAACAGAGCAGGTTTGGTCGATGCTAGTGATAAAGAGAGACGAAAATGCTAACACTATGATACAAAGTTAAATATACAGTGCTATTCAAGCTGTTTTAGTATTCTTATACGTAGGGGGGAAGGAACCGTGTAAGCTGTGAACACCGAACCTGGTACTATAGCTTCTGGATGATAATAAAATTGGCAGCAAATTGCTTTGCAAATCACAATAGCCGAAAGCAACAAAAGCTTCAAGGAACCAGTCAAGGAAACAAATTTGTAAATCATACCTCACGAGCTATATGGAGAGCCATATCAGTGCTCAGATTTAGGTGCGCATCATGCAAATGCGAGAGTATCCACCCAGGCAACTTAGACCGTTTATTATGCCGACTGTATCTGTAAGCAAGAAAGGAATTTACCAAAGGTGAAACTTCACATAAAACATTAACACAGCAAGGAAATGAACACAACAAACAGCATTATGTGTCATGGAAGTATGGATGCAATTTTGCTGGAATTCAGATCTAAAAATAACTAAAACTAAGCTGTCTGCTTATGGTCCATAAGACCCAAAATAAAAGGAGTATGATATGCATAAAGGTCCATAACACATAAGTATCAAACCAAGCAATGCTTATTAAGAGAGTTGTTGGTGAAAAGAAACACAGTGACCAAATGCACATTTTTTAGTTGGAAAGTTCACGTTCATGCATAATTTTAATACTTCATAAGCATGTCACCTTTGCTGATATTAGAGGTTTAAGCTAAAGCAGCTTGTTTCCAGATACGTATATTGGAGTAATAAGACGGCACAAGATTGGAGCTGGTTCGTTAGCATACAACTATACATGCGGGGTTCTTGATGCTCAGCTATGCTAGAACTCAGTGCGTCAAGGCAGTAATCAAGTACCTCTTGTCAGCAAATATCATCATCCCATAATCAGCTTTGGAGCGAATCACACGGCCAACACATTGGGCTGCTTGCCTGTGACATTAATGAGATTTCAAATTTAAAGGGCGTACCCGGTGCAGAGAGCTCCCGCTCTGTGCGGGGTCTGGGGAAGAGTGTCAGTGGCAAGCCTTACCCTCTGAAAGAAGAGATGGCTTGAGAAAACTTAGTAGATTGATTATGGAGGTACCAAATGAGTACAATATATAGGCAAGGATTGTCAAGGGTTTATAGAAACACCCAATCAATGGTGATCCTTGCCTAAACCAAGATCATCTACCATAAAACCCCAAGGGGCGCCTACAGGCGCACTCAGCCCAAGCCAGGGCGTAACGGCCCATACAGCCATGCTAATAGCCCAAGCTACATCCCATAATATAGTAGTCTAACACGCCCCCGCAGTCTGATCGTCGCCACCATGCACGTTCAGGCTGGACCTGAACTCTGTGAAGACCAAAGATGGAAGACCTTTGGTGAAGATGTCCGTATATTGGGATGAGGTTGGCACATGCAGGACATGAACATTACCAGCAGCAACCTTCTCCCGAACGAAATGGAGGTCAATCTTGATGTGCTTGGTGCGCTGATGCTGAACCAGGTTGGAAGACATGTAGACGGCGCTAATGTTGTCACAATAGACCAAAGTAGCACGCCGAAGGGGGGCATGGAGCTCGAGCAAGAGCTGACGCAGCCAAGAGGCCTCAGCAACACCGTTGGCCACCGCGCGGTACTCAGCTTCAGCACTGGATTTGGAGACTGTATTCTGACGCTTGGAGGGCCAGGAGACGAGATTATCACCGAGGAACACAGCGTAGCCCGAGGTGGACTTGCGCGTGTCAGGGCAACCAGCCCAATCAGCGTCAGTGTAGACCACAAGATCAGTGGCAGGAGATGGCTGCAATAGTAGACCCAAGTGGAGAGTGCCTCGAACATAGCGAAGGATGCGCTTGAGTGCTGCCAAGTGTGGTTCCCATGGTTCATGCATGTGAAGGCATACTTGCTGGACAGTATAGGCGATGTCAGGCCGTGTGAAGGTCAGATACTGTAATGCGCCAGCAAGACTTCGATAATCTGTTGCATCAGCCATAGGAGGACCATCAGCAGCTGCAACCTTGGGGTTTGTGTTGACTGGAGTAGAACACGGCTTACACTCAGCCATCCTAGCACAGTCCAAGATATCCTGCATATATTGCCGCTGTGAAAGGAAGAGACCGTCACCACACTGCTGAACATGCATACCGAGAAAGTGATGCAGTTTGCGAAGATCCTTCATTGAGAACTCCTGTTGGAGGGCCGAAATGATCCGCCGAAGGAGACCCGGGGAGGAGGCTGTGAGGACGATGTCATCCACATACAGGAGGAGATAGGCAATATCTGAGCTGCGCCTGTAGATGAAGAGCGAGGTGTCTGACTTGGCTTCGACAAACCCGAGAGACAACAGAAAAGTGGTGAACCGACTGTACCAAGCGCGAGGAGCCTGCTTCAACCCATACAAGGAGTTGTTGAGCTGACACACGAAGTTCGGGTGGGTGGGATCCTCAAAACCAGACGGCTGTACACAATACACTGCCTCTGACAAGATGCCATGTAGGAAGGCATTCTTCACATCGAGCTGGTGCACGGGCCACTGGTGAGACAGGGCCAGAGAAAGCACGGTGCGAACTATGACAGGCTTCACAACTGGACTGAAAGTCTCTGAAAAATCCACGCCAGGCCGTTGAGTGAAGCCATGAAGGACCCAGCGTGCCTTGTACCGCTCAAGTGACCCGTCGGCATTGAACTTGTGCTTGAAAATCCACTTCTCGGTGACCACATTAGCCCGAGGGGGGCGGGGAACAAGATCCCATGTGTGGTTTTGGAGAAGAGCAGCATGTTCTTCCTCCATAGCAGCATGCCAATTCGGATTGGCGAGTGCGCTGCGGAAGGTCTTGGGCACTAGAGATAGTGGCGTAGCATGATAGAGAGCAGGAATCCGGAAGCCGGTCTTTGCGCGCGTGGCCATGGGGTGCAGGTTGATCACTGGGGGGATAGCAACAGCACCCTTAGGCAGCAGCGCAGGTGCAGCAGCTGGGCTCTCCTGGCGCGGCGTAGGGGCAGTAGCTGGCTGAACAACAGCTGGGCGCTCAGCAGCTGGCTGGACAGTAGCTGGGCGCTCCCGGCGCGTGTAGACGTGACGGACTGCGGGCACCGGGAAGATGGGCAGTGGCGGGAAACCGGGCGGAGGTCCGCGTGGCTCGGCCAAAGCTGCCGGTGACGGCGAGGTCGAAGAAGTCGTTGCCACACGTGGCCGTGCAGGCGATGGTGACATCTTAGCCACACGTGGCTATGCGGGCGAAGGTGAGGTAGGGGCCGCACGTGGCTGTGCGGGCGAGGGGGCTGGCGCAACTGGTGGACTGGCTAGGAGTGCATCAAGCACTGCTAAACCAGCCAGGTCATCATCGGTGTCAGCCGCACCCGCACATGGCTGTGCGAGTGTCGAAGGACCAGTGCCTGCAGATATAAACTTATGTGCTGGTCTGATGGGAGCCGACACATAGTCAGTAATGTCCAAAAACTCAAAGTCTGCCGGGGATGGAGTGGAGGCACGCTCAACATAGGGGAATGCTGACTCGTCAAAGACGACGTGACGAGAGATGATAACTCTATTGGAAGAGAGATCAAGGCAGCGGTATCCTTTATGATGAGCTGAATATCCTAGGAAGACACACAAGGTGGATCGAGGGGAAAGTTTGTGGGGAGCTGTGGCGGACAAATTGGGATAACAAGTGCAGCCAAAAACGTATAGGTGATCATAGGAGGGCGCTGTGCCGAAGAGGGCGAAGTGCAGGGTGGATGAGCTCAGCGTTTTGATGGGCAAGATGTTAATGAGATATGTGGCTGTCTGCATAGCTTCGACCCAGAATGAGGGTGGTAGGGAAGCCTAGAACAGTAGGGAGCGAATCACATTGTTAATGGAATGAATGATACGCTCGGCCTTACCGTTCTAGGCGGAAGTGTATGGGCACGACATGCGGAGGCGAACACCATGGGTAAGGAAGAATGTGCGGGAGCTAGAGTTGTCAAACTCACGACTGTTGTCGCACTGAACTACCTTGATGGTGGTGCCGAATTGAGTGGACACAAGGGCAAAAAAGTGAGCGATTGTCGAAAAAGCGTCAGATTTCAACTTCAGAGGAAACGTCCATAAATAATGTGAACAATCATCAAGAATAGCCAAGTAATATTTATAGCCCGAGTCACTAAGAACAGGTGATGTCCACAGATCACAATGTATCAGATTAAATTTATTGGACGCTCGAGAAGTTGACAAATGAAATGGAAGATGCACATGACGACCTAATTGACATGCATGACAAACGAAAGAGTAGTATCATGACGACAAGTAGGAAGACTCGACACAAGCTTGGAGAGGGCCTCGTGTCCATGGATGACCGAGGTGGCGATGCCAAAGTGAAGACTCGGTGGCGGTGACCAAGGATTGAGCAGCGGTTGGCAGCCGGAGAGGGTACAATGGTCCGGAGCTATTGCACTGATGATCACGTTCCGAGATGAAGATCCTTCACAGAACACCCAGATCGGGTCAAACTCAACAACAATTGTTATCGATAGTGAATTGGCGAATGAAATTAGGTTCTTAATAAGTTGTGGGGAAACCAAAGACATTATTAAGACGTAAAGACGGTGAAATAACTGTAGAGCCAAGGATGTAACGGGAGTCATGGATCCGTTACCGACAACAATGGACGATGGAGTACAATACCGCGAAGAAGTAGTATGTGAAAGCGAATCGGAATGTGAGGACATGTGAGAGGTTGCACCTAAATCTAAGTACCAGTCATTGTTGTTTTGTGGCTGCTATAGCGTCATGGTGCTGAATGTCGAGGCCAGAGATGGCTGATCCCATGTGGGAAGTCCGGCGTGCGATTGGTAGTAGCCGGGGGGTGGTGCAGTCCAAGATCCGACATTCTCCATGACCGGGGCAGGCACAACATGCTGTTGAAGAGTCTGCTGGGCCAGCAGAGCATGCTGAGGGGTGCCAGGTAGTGGCGCAAGTGGAGGCCGCTGCCCAGGCTGTGGTCCAGGCCACATTTGGATGGCCCCGGCCCACGGGCGGTAGAAGGAGGGCCATGGCGTGCCCCTGGAGCCGGAGCTGCCAGGCTTAAGCTGTCCACCAAAGGGCACGCTGGACTGGGCACCTGGCTGCATACCAGTGGGCGCCGGGTTGCCACCAGCGCCGTCGCGCCGGCCGTCGCGTTTTCCACGGCGGTTCTTGGAGGGAGCAGAGCCACCCCCGGAGTCTACGCTGGAGACTGCAGGCTGCTTAACAGCAGGAGGACACGACGGGGCTGACATAGTGGTGGAAGCGGTGAGCGCTGTCGATTGAGACGACGACGTGTTCTCCATCGTCAGCTCCACCAGGAGGAGGTCAGCCTTCGCGTCCAGGAACATGGGGAAGGGGCGCCCTCGCCGGAGATGCATGCCGACGGTCTTGAAGCGCTCATTCAGACCGTGAATGAGGTTGAGGACGAGGGTGCGGTCGGTGACGACTTCACCTAAGTCACCAAGCGTGTCCGCCATGCGCTTGAGCTCCTTGCAGTAAACGGTGATGGACAGATCACCTTGAATGAAGTTGCGGAGCTTGGCGTCGAGGAGGAGGGCGCGTGTCTCGCGATTATTGAAGAACTAGGACTCCACGGCGCGCCAAGTGTCGCGGGCAGTGGAGTTGCGTGCTGAGATCATCGCGGCGAGGTCGTCGGAGATGGTGCAGAGGATCCATGACTTGACAACGCAATCCATGCGCTGCCAGTCAGGGAAACCAGGCGCCGGTAAGTCCTGCAGGGCATGGTGTTGAAGGGAATACTTCCCAATGATGAGGAGGAACTGATCGCGCCACCTATTGAAATTGCCGGCATTGAGGTCGAGAACAACCATGACAAGATTGCGGATGTTCTGGACCGCAACAGCTTGGGAGTGGAGGTTGGCGATTGCAGCAGCCTCTTGCAGAAGGAGGGCTTGATGCAGATCGGTGTTGACGTTGTGGTTGGAGGCGTGATCGGAGAGGTCGTCCTCATCGTCCCCGTCCGTGGGAGCACCAGCGGCGGCGCGTTCCTGCTCGGCGCGTGCCAGGGCATTGCGAGCGCGTGCGGCGGCGGCGTCGCGCTCCAAAGCAGCGGCCTGGGCTTCCTTCTCAGCTGCGGCGGCGCGCGGGAGGGCGGCATCATGCTCAGCCTTCCGATTGGCTGCGCGCAGGCGCGCAGTGGCATCCGCATCGGCAACAGCTTTGGCGGCGGCAGCAGCCTTGTCCTGGGCATCGGAGTCCAGGCTGGATACCGTGGGGACGGCAGCCTTGGAGGCGGCGGCGGCGGCGGCTGCCGATTTGGGAGAGGGGGGGAGTCCCAGGCATCGCAGCATAGGGAAGCCGAGGGGAGGGCGCGCAGGGGAGGAGCGCAGCCGAGGGGAAAAGGCGCGCTAGGGCAGCGGAGGTAGAATCAGGGAGAATACCCTGACTCGTGATACCATGAAAGAAGAGATGGCTCGAGAAAACTTAGTAGATTGATTATGGAGGTACCAAATGAGTACAATATATAGGCAAGGATTGTCAAGGGTTTATAGAAACACCCAATCAACGGTGATCCTTGCCTAAACCAAAATCATCTACCATAAAACCCCAAGGGGCGCCTACAGGCGCACTCAGCCCAAGCCCAGGGCGTAACAGCCCATACAGCCATGCTAATAGCCCAAGCTACAGCCCATAATATAGCAGTCTAACACCCTCGCCTGTGCAATGTGAGGAGATTTCAAATTTATTTCAAGAAATTTTGTTAGAAATATCTTGACAACATAAGAGGTGACAATGAAAAGGAGTTGTTTTTCCTGAAAGTAATAATGTTATTACCAAAGCATCAAATGTTAGGAAGTCACCCTCCTTTATCTGGAAAGTTTCCCGGAGGTACTCCAACCTAGCAAGCAATATCCTGCAAATCGTATAGGGACAAACAAAGGCAGCTATTATGAAATCATTAAGCCACCACAAATTGCAACTGTGTGCATGCATCAAACTACTTATACATACGAAGTAACTATAACTTAGCACCAAAATCAAGGGGTAGAGAGGATTGAAGCTAAATGTGAACAGAACTCACCGGCTCAGTGTGTACTGGAAAGGAACACCAAACATGATAACTAATCTGCCATAGTGCCAATCAAAATCAATACCTTCAGCAACTTTGCCCCTGCATTAAGTGTTAGCAAGAGTGAAACTATAGCTTCCAATGGTGACAACATTTTTTTTATCTATGTTACATAGTCAGTCACATCAATGAATATTTAACATAACCAAAAATAAAATTTGGAAGGTTGCTTTCAGATCGCAAATAATAAGGTGGACCAACCTGGCAACAGAGAAGAAAATGGCACCTCTTCCACAATCACATGCCTTTCTGTAGTTATCGAGAGCCAATGTTGTCTCAATGACATCTGGTGTTTCGATTAACACTAATTTATGTTGCATGATGTCCTGCAAAACAGTAAGACCAGGTTTTCGTTATTGGAACTAATGTATATGTATCTTATCTGGGCTATAGAAAATTTACAGGTATTTCATTTTCATAACACAAATGACTAGCATATCTTTGTGGATAACAAAAATTTAGCACCAATACCTGGCATATCTGTTTAGATAGCAAAACTGCAGATATGATAGATGTAATTCTTTGTCCAAAGACTAGATAGTATCTATTTAGTACCAAAGGTAAGACTTAAACCAACCTATGCTATGCATGTTGCTGATGTAATAAATAATTCGGCAGTGTCTATACGAGTGCGATAGTACTGGTAGATACTTTTAAGTCTTAATGCAACTTGAGACTCTTATTATCAATATAGATAGGTGGATGGAAAATCTAGAACATGCGGATTAAGTCCACTTTTGCCCCCTGTTGACACAAAATGTGACGCACTGTGCCTCACACATAGCAAGCCGAAAAGCGTAGCTTCAATCGGGTTCCCGGGTGCTTCGTTATCCGGAAGCGTGCCAGTCAGTTTGACCTGAAAAAAACTAACAAGGGACAAAACAATTAAATGTCAAACCGGAACATGTCGGGTAATACCAGACAGTTCCACATATACGGCCCTGAAGCCACTTACAACGACATACAGCTATAGAGAGCTGTCTGCCAATGAGTTCATAAACCGTTCAGCTAATAGTAAGATGAATGCACGTGGAGACCTGATTGCCGAATATACGTGCATGGGAAGACATGTTTGAACAAGTGAAATTAATTATGAGTTAATGCATAACCAAGCTCGGCAGTTCAGCCGAATTGGGGTCCATGAAGAAGGAACGTGCAAATAAAAAAAACGATTAAACTAATCTAAAACCTGCATCTGCCGCACGACACCTGGTTTTGTTAAAGTTTAAACATGATTAACATGCATGAACCCGCGACATGTGACAATCTAGATTAAAATAATTCAGCCATTATATGCACACTATCTGATTGCAAAGGTATTATGAAAAGCAATGATCGTTGAAGCACGAATAAAACCACAAGAGAGAAAAAGGCCAAACAATATCAAATCTAGATTGGGCAGAAATATGTTACAAATATATATAAAATATTCCGTAACATGCAACACTGGATAACTTAATGAATCTATTTAGATTTGCCATATCTAAAAGAGCCGATAACTATCTTGCTTTCACTAAGCATATTGAGCAAACGCCTGCCGCACGGTATCTACTCATAAACAAAGCATAAGCAAAGACTTCTTGATTGTCAAACAAAGATCCGCCGCACGACCATTGAAAACAAACAAGACTACTTGCATCACGTCTAAATCCACCGCATGATACTAAACATGATAACAAGGTTGTCGGAACTTACGGAGGTCGACGGATCGATGACTCCTCTCGAAGAACTCGACGACACGACAAAAGGACTCGAAAGTTGGCACGGGGCCGGTTGTATTGATTTGGTTGTGAACCTCTATTACAATGGTCGAGGGTCAATATTTATACCCTAGACAAAACACGAGTCCTAGAGGACTACGATTTACAAAGGAACCTTTAAATAAACTTGGAAACTCACGATTCCTTACCCTAAACTTTTAGAGTCCTTTACTATTACAACTTTCACCTTTTCGATCGGCCTTGCCTGCCATCTTCTGTTTTTCCCGAATGGAATCACCGCCTTCTGGAGTAACCGACCGCAATGCATTTAGCCGACCGCTTGCTTTGTTTGCCAATACCCTTCTTCTTCTCATGTGGGTCTACCTGTCATCTTCCGAATCGACCAAAATCCAAAGTTAACACATGCCCCCTCAATTTCGGGATAAAAGTTGTTTTATTCTCAAATTGACCACAAGCTCTTTCATTCTCCTAGGTCATCACCGTTCAAAACCGCAAATTACCGCCCAAAAATTCAAGCTTTCAAATAAAACCTCGGACCTCCTTCAAATCTTCAATGGCGACCCAGGATGAAATCCCGAGGTAAACTTTACTTATACTCGCAATTTTCATTTTATCCTCCGCTCCTCTTTTGATTTACTCCCTTTGATTTCAATCATCTTCTAAAGGAATACAAGAGCGATTTTGATCCCCTATGCTTTGCCAACCCGACTCCTATTTCCTCGGCCCAATGGGAAATCGACCCTTCCGAAATTATTGAGAAGGAAACCCAAAGAATTCCTTTCAAGTCCGGATTACCTCGCCAAACCGATGGCCAAACACGTTCAAGAATTGGCCATTTCCCCAATCACCGGATGGCGAATCGGTACAGAGAATGTTTGGAGAAAAGCGGCAGCCCATCGGGAAAGTCGGGACATCACCATTGTCTGGAATTATCTTTAGCGAAAACACCCGTGAATGATTCCTTTTGATAGCGACTTCTCATTTTTGGTCCGACACTATCAATGCCTTTATCTTTGGTCATGGTATTATGACCATCACTCTAACCGACGTATTCATGATGACCGGCTTGAATGTGTCATTGCCAAGATATCCCTATAAGTACAAGAGCAAAAGTAATCAAAGAGCCGCCGATTACGGATGTGGATGGGTCAAACATATTCGAACTACATGAATGCATCTGCACCGCCTCTCGACAAAGAGTTGAAAGCCTTCATGAATATGTGGCTATGCAGATTCATCTTCCATGGGAAAATCCAATGAACCAACCACGAATCACATGGTAATGGTCAAAGACTTAGCTGCAGTGCACTCTCCGGATCCCACTAGGCAAATATCTCTTAGGGTCTCATTTATCATATGATGCATCGATTACTCTTTGAGATGCGCCAAGGTGGAGAAATTTCTTGTGTGAATGGTCCTCGTGGCTAATTCAAATGTGGCTTCAATATATATGCATCGATAACCTCTGTGAGCCTCTTCAATCTAAGTTTTCCTTCATCAACTATCTTTGAAGGCAACACAAAGAAAAGGTCAAGGCATGTCGGACTTATGGGGAAGCAAAGATCATCCATAAGCATTGACATAGACATCGGTCATTTCTTCAAGCTATTTTTCAAAGGATTCGACAATGTGCTCTGGTTTCCTTACAGAGAAAATGAAAATTTGACTTTGCCTCGCAAGTTTAGCTATGAAATTGGTTGTTCAAAGCCAAGAATCCACGGAGATTTTCAACTCCTTTATCAAGCCTTGCACTCGCCACCCGAATTTCATCATGGGAGACTAGTACAATCTACCTATGAATTTTATTATCCAAACATGGTGGCGGACAATTAGGATGCGCCAACCGCCTCCAAAATTCCTCTTCTCAACAATCATAAAGTCAAGGGAATTAATAATGTAAGGAATGGAAGCCAAGAAGGTCTTTGAATTAGGATGGGAATTGCCAATATACTGAACCATCTCCATTTGGGCTAATAGATGTTGCTCATCCCTTCTTTGTTTCTTGGTGGCAAGAATGGCATGCTCATATCTTCAATATATCGGTTCATTCTCTATGCAAAAACTTGCAACCCGATTTTGCTTCCGACGGTGAGGTAATTTCATTATGCCCATCATTTCTTGTTCTTGAATCCACTTCTTACTTTAACATCCGGTCATGCATGGATCTTGAGTTTACTCCTCCGACCAAAGCAATCCAAAGACTATTCGGTGATCCCAAGCACGCTCGGGGTTTGATGCTCCAAACTTAAAAGAATTCATGAAAACTTCGCAACTTTGGATTCAAAGACTCTAAAGGCACTCATGAGAACTCCCGCTACTTTAGCTGCTGCACCTTCGAGAGGAAAAAGCAAAAGGAAAACACCTGAAAGTTTTCTCTTACCCAAAAAACCAAGGACCAAGAAAGCCAGATTATCCCTTAAGGCATGAATCTTTTATTTTCTTATCAGGTCAACAATCTCACTTAGCAGTAAGCCTGACCACCTCTATATTCATTACTTCTATTGCAGCCACAAGTCGAAACTCCCACACTGGGCAATACCTCAGCACCTGCAGAACCAACCCCTGAAGTTTCTACTGAAGATGAAGAAATTCATGATAGCGAAATTTCAGAGACTCATGAAACTGAAGGTTCAAAGGCTCATAAACCTGATGAGACTATAGGTAACATTGTTCAACCAATTCTCTTTTTCTTTCTTTTAAATAACATCTATTCTCCTATGCTCATTATCATCTACTTCACTGAAAATAGATGAAATCTTGGATGAACTGGCAAGGGAAACCTCTCCTGATCAAGCTCCAAACCTGTCCCCTTTAAATCTTCAGCCAAGTTCCCCAGCAGGCCAGGGTATAACCCATCCCGACGATCAACCAGCTCAGCAGGTAATTCCTTGTTTTACACTATATTTTATCAAAATTACCCAACCGGCTAACACTTTCTTTCTTCTCTTTTCTTTAGAAGAACATCACTAAACCGACCACCAGTTACTCTTTCTCTATTGAGGATTACATCATTGAGAAAGGTGAAGAGATTACTTCCCATCAAACCTTATCGCTGGAAAATCAGGCCCGGCTAAAAGATGTGATCATTCTGCTAAACAAGGATACCATCGATCTGTTCGGGATGCGAGACTGGATAAAAGACCTCCTTGAACTCATTGATCAAGATATCCCTCTCGCTCTCAAGGCTTCCCTAGAATCTGCGGCCCATCTTGATGACCATTTTGCTATGGTGAGAAGGGCAATCAAAAATACATCTTCGAGGACCGCCTGCGAGAAGGATAGATCTTTGAAAAAATTTGGAGATTAAAGATCTTCACTCTCACATCCGACTCACGAGAAATTCCTTGGCAACCTTGGAGCCCGAATCGAAAGCCATGGAGGATGAAAAAGCGGACTAGAAGCTCAACTAGCCGAACCAATGCCAAAATTCAGTCTCACAGGCCCATATAATTAATTTGCGAAGAACATAGAAGCGACTTCACTAAAGATAGCTTCGATCATCAAAGAAGATCAGCAGATCAAAACTAAGTTATCCAAAGATCCGAGTTCGAAGATGAAGATCAAAAGTGCTAGATAATGTTAGCCGAATCGGATCGAGGCTATAG